ATTTAATAGCACATATAGTTTAACTTGAAAGACGGTCGATTTACGTAATCTTACATTGGCGAAAGTGCATGCTCCGCCAAATTACAAAGTCACTACTGCACTTTTCCTTGACCACTTAAAATCGAAAACTTTTTCTTTTACGCCGAAATGTATCAGCATTATTTTTGATTGAAATGACACGCATCGTTTGTGTCAACTGTTATAACATGTGCCTGTTTCTGTTGTGAACTGTTACTGTTACGAACTGTTTCTGTTAACAGCAACAGGTGCATGCCTAGTGATAACTTCGATATGTCATTTTGAGAAAATTCTGAGATGCCTTCACCAATATTAATAATAAACAGTGTATTACCAAACAGTTCTGCTCGTTGACGTGATTTGGATGTTGATGTATAGGCAGACAAACTAATATCTTTGTCAAGTGCACGCCTGTAATCGTCAGTCATTTCATCTGTCAATATACAATCACGGTAGACAATGAAACCTTTATTACCATGTGTATTTGGTAATTTTTGATCTAACAAATAACAGTATGCACCCAATGTACCAACCGTGGACCTCTCTTCGTTTCTCATTGTTGCAATTACTAACTTATATAGAAAAGACTCCATCGAGTAGAGATAAGTGGCACGATCGAAAATTTCTTCCTTTACCTTGTTCTTCACTTGTGGTAGTTGTTGCGCCAACAAAAGAGCGTCAAAGTTTAAGGCTCTTGACACTACTTGACACCAAAGTTTGAAGCTCTAGACACATTTTGATTAAATAAAATGAATGCAAACAAGGAGAGGATACCTTCTACTGCTATTTCCGCAACTTTTGAATAAAAGCTTGGTACATTCGGGTCGAGCATTTCCAGATTCCTGCTAATCCATACTCTAATAAATTCAGATCCGCAAACAGTTCCAAATGATTTAGCCGCCTTCGGCGCTTCAGCATAAGCGAATCTTTCCTCTCGCAAAAACAATAACTTCAAATTTCACCGGTCTTTTTCGATACTGAACCATTTGTCTGAAATCAATAACATAGTCTCCTGGCTGCATCTGTCTCTCTGTCTTCGTGTTATATACCCCTTCAATTAATTGAATTTCTAAATCCAAGAAGCGTTTCCATTCTTTTGGCCGTCCTTCATCCCACAGATTTTCGCTCGATTGCCAGGACCAGATGATCATTAAAGGTAGAGGAGCCTTTGCTTGCTGTATTGCGGTTTGTGAAGTCGCACCACAGCACATTTCAAAACTCACTTATATGGTGTATAATTTGAGAAAGGAAAATAAAATATAATCAGGCTTAGATAACTCTGTAAAAAGATAGGAAGCTCTGCCGCTTTTAGATATGTAATCAGCCCGGCAAAATTACGAGTCCAAGAGTTTCGAACGGTCAATCGTCGCCGATTTCTGCTAGTCAGAAAAAGCGATCTAAACGGCCTGTTGATACTGGTTTTCATCCGGTGAATAAATATTCCTTAACTTTGTTATTTTCGCGATGCAAATCCAGAAATTTTTTGTTTTGTAGCTAAATGTGCTATTTTGGCTAGACCGTTTTCGACTAAACAGAAAGAAGTTGCACCAAAAAAAATTGAAATTTCTCTAAATTTCTCTCTTGCAGAAACGCTCGTTTTTCTTGTCTGTCAGAAAATCCAGCAGCTTCCAGGCGTGATTCTACTTTGTTTAGAAGAGTTTGTGCGTTTCTATCTCCGAGGACCTACCTGTCGAACAAACCTGAGCTCAAGGAATCTTAAAACACATGACATATAGGTTATCGGACACGCTGATTACTGTGGAAATGTTTATTTTGTTGGCCGAGTTAAGAAAGCTGCGAAAGACCAATTTTTCAGAAAATGCGACCGACATTTCCCGTGAAAATATTCAGAGGTCTTCTAGATTCGATATACTATTTATTTTTTTGCACTTTTGTCTGTGTGATGTGATGAAACATTTCAAACTAAGTTTATTTGGAAAATTCGAAGCAATTCTATTAAGAAATGAAGGCGCTATAAGATTGTTAATTTAGTACGGTCACAGTGGAAAAATCGGATTTTCTGAAAAATTCATCTGTCGCAGCTTTCTTAACTCGGCCAACAAAATAAACATTCCCACAATAATCAGCGTGTGCGATAGCCTATATGCCATGTGTTTTAAGATTCCTAGAGCTCAGGTTCGACAGGTGGGTCCTTGGAGATTGCCTGAAGTGTACGAACCGTGATAGATAGAGCTCTACGAGCTGATTCATTGTAAAGAGCGAAGTCTCTTCTATATAACCCACGACTTTTGAGCCTCGCTCAATATGCGGCGAGCTCGGACTTTTTCCTTCGAAAGGCACACCATAGTAGATCTGTTTCGAAAGCTTCGTTATTTCACAGATCTATGTACCCGATGTCTAGTTTAACAAACAGAAAACCGGAGATCTCTAGCGCTTGTAGTTCAAAAGTTATAAGCGATCTTCTCATGCGCGTTCTTTCAGAAAAACGGTAATAGAGGCTTTCAATATCATACAGAAATACAAATACTGCAATACAAATACTGCAATTGAACAACACCTACTAATCGTGCTACTGTCTTTGACGTTCTTCGACGCCGCGTATCTTTTGTACTTGCATGAGCATTATTTAAATCTATTGTTGTCAAGCCATAAACGAATCATTTGTCAGCAGGGTGGAATATAAATATGTGATCAAAAGCCATCCTCTGCTACCAGTTCTATGATTCGGCTAACCGCTTTTCTCTCCTTCACTTAGTATTTAATTTTTCGCGTGTATCATTTCTACAAATTACTTTTCCATTGAATTTGCAGCTAAAAAATTTTCTTTTTCAACTTTTCTTCGTTATATTCTATTTACTCTTCTTCTTCTCGTGTATAATGTTTCATTTTTATTGTATCTAGATCACTTTTCTTACACGTTTTAATCATCAGATTTTATTCAGTATTTTATTTATTATTCTTGTATACATAAAAAAGCAAGAGCAACATTTGCAGTCTCTTTAACGATTTTCTGATAAATTTTGTTGATAGTGACTTTTCATTGCTGTTGTTGTTCCAATTTCAAAATCACGTCCATTATTTTCGCTGTATGAACTATTTCGATGATGTTTGAAACATGATGGACAATACATATGAACACACATAAATAAATTTGTACACAAATTCAATGCAAGTAGAATGAGAATTAGAAGAACAATTATAAATGCAATATATAAATATTTTTTTATTTGTTCAGATACACCTTTGAATGAATCAGTAATTTTTGTTTGCCCTTCATCAATAGCATTACCAAACTTATCGATTATGTTAGTTAGATTATTTTTGATATTATCAACAGCTAAAAAAGAAATAAACGATGGGCTGATTAGAGAATAATGCGGATAATGCTAAGACTACAGACTAAATAGAAAAAACCGAGATTTCAATCATCTCTTACTTGCCATAGAGAAAAAGAGCTTCCAAGAGTCACACTTTGCACTTACAGCAAGGGGGAAAACACTGATTTGAATCAATCCAAATCTTTCAAATCTTTCCAAATCTTTCCAAATCTTTCCAAATCTTTCAAATCAAGTTGATTCAAATCAATATAAATCAATTCAAATCAATTCAAATCTTTGCAAATCAATCCAAATCTTTCAAATCTTCAAATCAGTTTTTCCCCCCTTGCCTCCTGAGGGGACAAAACTGATTTGTAGATTTCAAAGATTTCAAAATCTCTCCAAATCTTTTGAAATCTTCAAAATCCTCAAATCAGTTTGTTCCCCCTTGACTTACAGTCTAAAGTTAGCGTCATCAAAGCACAAAACTTTGTACTGTATTGTATCAAATTTAGTGTTTCACTATATCACAAAGGAAGACACAAACCGATAAGCCATTTTCTCAAGTCAGATTAGATTTTAGTTGAAATTTCCAGTCGAAAATTGTTTTTAAGAATGTGACTCATTCAGCAAGATTGAAAAACCACGTTGTTCTTCTTTATTCTTCTGAATCATGACTGATTCAAGCATAGATCCTACTTTTAAAATATCGACGTGAGCATATTCAAAAGTAAAATGGACTTGAAAAAAGAACAAAACTTTCTCTTGAGTTTTAAGCGCTCAGCCAGAAAAGATTACCTTCTACTATGGTCTTCAAATTAGTAGCATTTATTAGATTCAAGTCACTTACCACTTAACAGCATTACTGACCGCCGAGTGGTGACAATGTTCTTCAGTATTTTCTTCTCATATCTACGAATGAAAGTAACAAATAACTATTCGTACCTGGAAAATTATCTTTTAACCACGATAAAATACTGTTTTCAATGGAAGGTAATTGAACATCTTTGCTATCAGTGCTCGCAGCTTTTTCTTGTCCAACAGCTAAAAATGAACCTGAGAGATTTTCAAAAAGTTTTTGCTTATTAAAATTATTTCAGGATTTTTCTTACGTCTTCGTAGTGACTAAGAAACAACAAACGTTAAATGCTTTAAGTTCTATCTATTTCAATAGACATACATATATATGCGCTCCGTGATTGTTTTTATTGAAGAACTCAGCAAATACTAAAATATTTTCTAAGTTTTCGAAGTTACTGAGATTAATGAAATAAATCTCGGATACCATCGCAACTAAAAACGTTGAAATTATTATTTCGCACGCTATTTCAACATTTTAATGCAGTACTTTTCAAGTGCTTTGTCAAGTAAAAAGTTGAGTGAACAAAATTAAAATTAAAAAACTAAAAAATAATTTTCTTCGGTACTTCAGAAGATATTTAACTTGAGCTGCGCTACTAATGATTATGGATGAAAATAAGAAAAAGTGTTAAGAGAAGATATGAGTTTTCCATGAAGACGGAGGTCAAATTCAGCAACGGCAGTCAAGGTCTTTATCCGACAACAACAAAAAAGAATGTTTTCGTGTTAATTATATAATACAGCGATTATAGATTTCCAGTGTAAGTATTCTCGTCCACGGTTAAAGTACCACCTACCACCTAGCATCACAACTTACCTATGACTTGCTGAATAGTTATACATAATAATATTGCAATAATCAAAGTAAGTTTCATATCGCTTTTAACTCTAAACGATGAAATATTTTTCTATATAAAGATGTTATAAGTAGATGAGTGAAGTAAAAGGTGTAATATTCAAATGTGGAATATTTACTTCCTCGATTTGCCATACACAAATAACGAAAGGAAAACATTTCAAGTACATTCATTCATGTGCTTAATTTGCAATTGATGTGTATTACACATCAGAAAAGTCAATATTCCAAGTAATTTGATAAAAATATATGCTACCGTTTACAATTTTGTTTATTGTGTATGGGCGATTCATACTAGAGAACAACGAACGTCAATTTCTATTCTTTCTTTCTATTAGAATAGGGTAATATATATTTTTGTCGATATGTTAAATGCTGTCCTGTTTATGTCTTTTGAATATTAGACACATAACTAAAAGAAATATACTTTTCTTATTCATTCTGTTGAAAGGAAATGAAACTGTTTCGTTTTACTTATGGATATTAGTTTATAAAATGCAATCGTATGAGTAGATATATTTTATAACGATGGCAGGAGAGAAATAATCTTAAACTACATGTTAAGTCCATGGATAAGGAGAAAGAAAAAAGCGAAAAGAACGATGACTAACAGACCGTTTTAAATTCAGTGCTACAATATATTAACTTCTAAAGCAATCTTTAATCTAAGTTAATCTTATTTCAGTTTTTCATCTTCTTAAATCCGCAGAAACAAGAATTTAGATGAACTACTTTCGATAAAACGAAAAAATGCAAAACTCTTTTCCATGTCGTTAAAACCAAAAATTTTTGTTCATATTTCACGCAGAAAAACGCATACAAACAAAGTGATGCAACGCCAAATATGGTTACCCGAACGAAGCTAATGGGAAGTTTTGTGCACATAAAATTTTGCGTGATTCTGTAAAATCCAATTGTTTACGTTATAGCACATGCAGAATTTTTTGCCGTATTTTTCAAAAATATTTTTTGTATTACAACGCAAGACTGTCATCGGTATATTTCCAGGCAATGGTGAATCATTGCGATAACTTATCGTTTCTTTTTGTGTAATTTTGCAAAAAAAAGTAATTTATTCTTAATAATATTCATACAAAATAGCTCCAGAAAAAGTTGTTCCGATCAGCATATCATGACTGACTGACCGGTTTTGGGTAAAATAGTATGATCACAGTTGGAAAATTGAATGCAATTTCTGAGTTCAGTTTTTCAGTTTTCTTGTACAGATTCTTTAAATGAATGGTTCGGATGTAAACAGGAGCGATATGAGATTCCATTTTCTGTCTTTTTTTCCACTAAGTTACAGCTACAAAGATATTCAGATTTGTACACGATGGTGAGTGCTTCAATAATATTATCTATGGAGGAAGCAGCATGCTCAAAGAAAGACAAATGAAATCTTATTTGGCTCCTCGATACTTCCACAGATCTAACACTTCCTTACCACTCTCACAATAGTAACTACAGTGATCCTCAAATTCACTGACTAAAAGTTTTAAGTTTAAACAAGCCACAAATAAAATTTCATTTCCTCGAATTATTTTCGTCTTACCAGGCACACGCACTGAGATATTCGCTGAGGACACCAATAAAGCTATTCTTGAGAAAGCCTGTACGTATACAGTTTAATGTTATACACACTAAAGCTTATGTGCGTCACTAGTGACTAGTGACTAGCGAATATCTTAGTGCAATGTAATTGCACAACTCCAATCGTTTGTCTAGTATATAGAACAGAAAGGATGGATTTATTTCTGGAGTGTTTCTGCAACAGTAAACTTATTCGATTTTTTTCATGTATTTATTCAAAAATTAGTTGTATTTATTCTAGTTGGGTACTTCCATACAGGTTCGCTCACTGTATACACGACTTAAAGTCGGGCAGATTTGACTATATGCAATCGATAGTCCTACTAAAGGTATGCAAAGACTCCTGCCGTCCCATCGAAAAATTATTCCAAATACGGTTTTTCCTCGGCCATAAGTTCTGAATTGAGGCGTTTTTAGGCGTGCCAGAACAGCAAAATCCGACCTTACCTAATACTAACAAGCGTTCTCATACTGCCAACTGAAAGAGCATACAAAGTTGCATATTTCGATCCGCAAATAAAAATTTGTGGGGACGAGCCAAAGTAGGTCTCGGGGCTACGCCTACCATGAAGAAGTAAAAAGCGCTAGAGACTTCATTGTGGCGTCATACGAACAAACTTGGAAGACGATTCCATTTGAATATAAATAAAGTTAAATTTTGTTAGATTTTGAGCTCGTCCAACACGCTATAAAACGAGTGATATCTGCTAATGCAGATAAGATCCTCGAGTCAAAAATTCTTTCCGAATGTCAGGGGAAAAAATTTCATTTGCGGATTGAAATATGCAACTTTGTATGGTCTTTCCCGCTAGCAGTATGAGAACGCTTGTTAGTATTAAGTAAGATCGGATTTTGCTGTTCTGGCACGCCTAAAAAAGGCCTTAATTCAGAACTTATGGCGGAGGAAAAACCGTGTTTGGAATAATTTTTCGATGGGGCGACAGGGTTTTTTGCATACCTTTAGTAGAACTATCAATTGCATATAGTCAAACCTTCCTGGCTTTTAGTTCACATAATACTGGGCGGACCTGTGCGGAAGTACCCAGCTGTCGTTATAAAGCTTTCAAGTATTCAAAATTAGCTCGTTTATCGATAATTTTAAAATTTTCATTCAGTTAATTTGAGGATGATGTTTCTGATTTTTGAGTGCATTGGTCACACTAAAGCGACTACACTTAGCTGTCTAGCCATGTACCAACTAACCAAACTGGCTGACCGATCAACCATCTGATCAGGATCGTCCAGATCTCTAATAAATAGATCAAAATATTTGTTATATAAATAAATTTACAGAATTAAAGTATCTACTTGTAATTTAACTCTAATAATCTATCCATTTCGTATCAGCCACATCTATTTTTTCAAAATATTTATGGTATGTCATTCAAAAGATATACGATTTGAAAGAATACGGTTAGGTTTTCGTATCAATAATCTGTTAAAAGTCTACCAGAATCTGAAAGTGCAACATTTTCCATTAAAATAATTTTTCGAGATTTTCAACAGAGTTTTCCGAGACGAATGTTTCAGATCTTCCAAAATACTCCTCAGACAGTTTTATAGGGCCAACACACTATATATCTTAACAATCTGACTAGAAGCAAAAAAAATTTATCGTTGTTCACAGCAACAAAAGAATTTTACTTTCCTATGAGAATTGTGCAAATTGTCGGGAAAATTCTACTCTTTCTCAGATCATCCACACGTCTTGTGCTTCCCTCTCTCGATGAGTGGAACAGAAAATATTTACAGTTCTGTAATTCGTCCATTCAACTATAAATATGGCTATACTTTTATGAAACCCGGGGGGGGGGGGGGGGGGGGGGGGGGGGGGGGGGGGGGGGGGGGGGGGGGGGGGGGGGGGGGGGGGGGGGGGGGGGGGGGGGGGGGGGGGGGGGGGGGGGGGGGG